CGGCCGGGAAGGCGGCGGAAAGCGCCCCAAGGTACGGCGAGGCCTTCGAATGCCCCCGAAGGCTTTGGCCGCTGGCTGCTCCCGGCGTGGGCCGGGAGGCGAAGCACAGTAGGCCTCGCCTAGTGCGGAGCGCTGGGGATCTGGAGTCGTGCCTGGGAGCGCCTGTAGGTAAGGGCCACACAGACTGCATCGCCTGTCTCACAGCCTAGGGCCGGCTAGATAAGGTTTTCGGCCTCAGAGGCGAAGGGCTTTGAATCCTGAGGCTGTACCAACATACATGTTGGGATACTGGCCCATATCATTGCAAGACAAAGAAGTATTTGTGTACATTTGTACCCTTCTGCTCTTTTCTAAATTATAGGTATTGTGCCGCACAGAGCTTAAATCTGATTCAGGGTAGTGGTTGCTTTTTTATAGGCTGCATCACAAAAACTAGAGTTATAATCTGCAGCTTTTAGGGCACCAAATGCCATAGGCACTTAAGTCCAAATGGCCATTCCAGCCAGGGAAAAGTCGCTGATTGGATAGGCCTGCAGCCTCGTCTCCTAGTATGCCTGTAACAGTGACGCTGAGTTCTGTATAACTTGTTACAAGGTATGTGTAAGTAGGCACAAGGTAGCAAGGACTTGGCTGGTAAAGATCAGACTGGTAGATCTAAAAAATGACAGCTTACTTAAGGGTAGTGTCAACATTAAAAGCAATTTAGCCTTAATAGACTTTGCATTGTTTCTGATTAGCAGTATATTTTAAAAGATGTTAAAAGGATCTTCTATGTGCTTTAAATGGGATGATTAGAAAAAAGAATCTTTTCAACAGATTGAACCATTTCTTACCTTTTGCTTGTAAATGACTTCTGCAACTTTGTAGAACGTGGCTTTAAGGTCTGCAATTAGATGTAATATAAATTATAATAATTTGGGGGTTTTTTGTGCTCTTTAGGGGTCCCACTTAGCAACTTCATGTTTGCAATATTCTAAACATGGATGATCATACCTAAATTAGAAGCAATGCTCAGGACTTCTTAGGAACGAATAATTCCTTCTGCTAGAAGGTAAGTGTGCTCTAGCATAATGACAATTGCAGGTCATTTGAAATCTTAACTTTTTGATAATTCACAAATGTCAAGTAAATTGTAATACCTCTCTTGAATAAGTGGTAAGTTCAGATCCTTTTAGTTAACAAGAAAAAAATTGGTGCTACAACCTACTCCCCTTTTATGCTTTGCCCTCTTAAGTCTGGCAGTGTCTTAAGTGGCCAACACAGAGGGGTATAAAAGTTCTCTCCCAAACCCAGAGGTGAGGTTGAAACTCTTCTTTGGATCATGCTGAGAGGAACACATTCATGAAACTAGTGGACTTTGGGAAGTTACCAAATCAACTCTATTGCATTCAAAATAGTTATCTTGTTATCTGAGTCTTAATATCAGTTTCATGTAAATCTTATTTTCCAGGCTTCTCAAGTATGTTGATGTTTCATGAACGTGTGTGAAGTATCTTGAGTGAAAAGGGTTCCTTGTAAATTGATTGCTCTCCAGGTATGTAGTGTAAAAAAGATTATCAATGTTAGTGGTTGGGTTGTCTTCTACATCTAAAGGAGTTTAAATTATTCCTTAGAAAATAAATATTTCGCTTCTCTTCCATTCAGTTATCTGTTCTCTGATTTGTATTCATATAACTAATTGTATCTGTGGGACCAAAACTTGATTACAATTATCTACCTCCAGATTTTCATACAGCTGCCAGTTGCTGCTGGCTAAATATCCAACAATTCCAACATTCACTCTTGATTTCTTATCATGCATTGATTCTTCTCTGTTCAGTGGCCTCCTGTCATCAGACAATCAAGTTAACAGAAAAGAACGATTTCCCCAGCCTTCTATATTTTCTCTGCATTCTTTCTCTTCATCACAAGGCCAATGGGGGGACTGTGCTCGCACCTCCCCATCAGATACCACTGCAACTTTTCAGTAGTTCCACTTCTGAATTATCTTCTAGCCCCTCTCCAGGCTCTCTCCTGCCCGTTGTATCTAGTGGTGAAGCAAAACCTCTCCCTCTTTTCACGAATTGGGAAGAGTTTAAATTATTCCTTACCTGAAAACTAAATAAAAAAACCAAAACCCCAATTAGTTTGGACTACTGGAAACCTGGGTGGAAATCGTTAGAACTTTATATAGATTTAGCCAGTCTAATTGGGGGAAAAAATCTGAGGAAGGCTTATAGTTGCAATAGTTATTGGATCCATATACTCTAATCTGGCTGGTCCTCTGGAATGGAATCCATACTAATGACATGGGAAAGGAAAATCCTGTCCTGTACAAATGAAAATATTTTTATTGAGGAATGGCTCTGACTTAAGGGTTAGTGTCATGTAGCATGTTCATACAGCTCAACCTTAGGCCAGTTACCTCTCTAGTGTGCAATGCTGACTGCAAATTAAATATAACTTATTTTACAGGGAGGAAACCAACACCTGCAAGGGGTTGGAACTGATAACAAACATCAGCTTATGATTTGATGAGCAGCTGGTTTATGAATTCACACTAGATGACTCCAGTTGTCGCCTGGAATGTATTGCCTTGAAAGTGAAATTGAGACAAGCGGTGGCTAAAACTACACATTTTCGATGATCATGTTTAAATGGGAACCTCGTTTGTTGAAACTGAGGTTTCTTAACATAAACTGCTGTAATTTATTTTTATGTTTGTGTGGATTAATTGAAATAAACCATGAGAATGCAACCAGAAGTTTGTGTGTGCTGAATTTTTCTCATCTAGGTACTTCCTGTATGGAGGCTTTTTTTCATGAATGTGAATACTTTTGTATTGTCATGCAGAAACATTATGTTGCCATGTGCAAATTTAATCTGTAAGGTACAAATCCATTGAAAATGTCCCTCTTCATCTTGTATTCTGGGTATCTGGTCATAGTTTTCTGAGGTTTTTTTAGAATGCAGAAGCACTTTAAGATCAGCTGGCCAACTTATAAGTTATTTCATTAGGCTGTATGTGTTCTTTTTGTGTTCTCCAACTGGTGGAAAAACTGTCTCAAACTTTAAAGAATGAGTACTATTACAGCCTTAGCAAGAATCCTTTCCCCTGCCTCTTTCAAATAAAAAGAAAAATGTTCCATATAAAAAAAAAAAAAACCAAACCAAAAGCAAGCAGTCTGAAGATCCTTGAAGAGCAGGATCAATACTGTTGAGTGACTGAAGGTTTGTATGCACTTTTTAGTTGCTTATGGCTGAGTAAATATTAAATTTATTCCTCAATAGTTGGTTGTAAAGTGAAGAGATTGATGTGCATCCTATTACTAGCCAATGCTTCCTTGGAATGCACAAAGGTGAATATAAAATACAGTTAGAAGTAACTGCCAGGCACTCCCCACAGCCTGCCCAGGGAATTGAGATAGTGTTGATTTGGAACCAAATTTGTCTTTTGTATGCTGGGTCAGATTTAACCTCCAGCTAGCCAGGCAGTGTTACCGGTTATTTTTGCTTAAAACACCTTCTAAACAGGGTGAGTAGTGATCTGTTGTATTTGTAGCCTGCTAGGCTTACCAAAGTGTTTCTTTTCCTCTGGACTGGTGTTTTAATAAAAGCTAAAACTGAAGGGCATACAAAAGCACTTTGTGTTAAGCCTGTCTGACAACTGTCTAGTTCCTGTTATGAGAAACTGCATCGTTTCCCTCAGGTCTTGTCAGTTACTTTACAGACCTCTGTCCTCTGCAGTCATGCTCAAGGATTAAGCTTTAGTCTATTCAGCCTTGCTTTATGTGAGTGTGGTTTCATCTCTGATCCATGCTGCCCCGTGCAGGTTTTCTAAGTCTTGCTTCTCTGAGGTTCCGCAGTAGTTGATGGTATTCAGCATGGCTAATTTCTAAAAGCTGTCTCCTGTTTTCCTTAACTAGTAAGCTTGTTTCCATTTGACAGCTTGGGCTGATGATTTTGGTGAGCTTTCTATGCTTCCAGAACTTTCTGACAGGAGTGGAAGCTATCTTAGAATTGGGGTTGGAGTTTTCCTTCCCAGTCTCCTTAGCTATGCAATAAATGCCACTAAATTCCATTTGTTCTGTCTGCGAGGATCTTGACAGAATCGAGATCTTTTGGAGCCTGTGGTCATGGTCAGCTTTGAGTACTCTGCTTTTTTCACATCCATTCATGCTGAAAACAGCTTTGAAATCTTTACACTTATGAAAACTAGCTATTTGTTCTCCTTTCTGAATCACTGGCCTAGGTGTACACTAAAGGTCTGTTCTATTTCATAGTAGCTGTCATGCCCCTGAAGGACCTACCTGAAGACTTCAAAAATAAAGTATGTTCCTTTGAGTCCTCCTCTGTTCTTAGGTGCTGACTCCTTCAGAGACTTGCTTAGTTTTTTTCAGGCTTTACTACTCTTCAATGCCATGCTGTATGGTTGGTGATAAAACACCATTAAATCCTAATGACTTGGTCTTCATTCATGAATCTGTTCTACAGTGTTTCAGGCAGGTCCTTGTTCATTCATCCCTAGTTCTTAAAATCTTTGGGAAAGCAGTCTCGATCACAGACAAATCATTCATTTGGCTTTTGTCATGTAGCCTTCAAATTCTCAAAGGCTCCTTTCATACTCATTCATTTCTTGGGCTTGCAAACTCTTTTGCAGACTTCCTGCTTCTGATTAATTTGAAGAGATTTTAATATTCTTTTTTTCCTATTGCTCCTTAAACATTTCTGCTGCTTCAGTGTGGTGCAGATTAAAACTGGGTTATTCATTTTTACTTTTGTTTGTTTTCACATGACTTGCAGTTATGAAAAGATACAGCTTCACTGTGGAGCACATCCACAGTTCAAAAGTGCTATCATTTTTGGGAGACTGATTAAAACTCGTCTTTTAGGCAATGCTTTATCTGTTTAGCCACGCTGCACCCTTATTAACTGGTACTTTCAAGTAGTTTCACTGCTCATTGCTTTCTTCCTTTCATAGAGGGAGAAATTTGCCTTAAACTTCAAGAAGTTCAATATAAAAATGTTTTAGGATGTACTTTCCATTGCTGACAGCTGCAGTTTTCTTTCCTGTCAGTCTTTCTGTTGCAGAAAATAAGCTTTTTCACAATAGTGGCTTACACACTTACACTGTATACTGACAGTATGTTGCACAAGTTTCCCAATAAAATTGCAGTGTTAGTGAAATTCCTATTTGCTGTAGCTATTAACAAAATACCCATGTGCCACTAAGAAATTATGTTGCATGTAAAGTCCAGTCTTTGCTCTTCTGTCCTGAAACATCTGGTCAGAAAGGCTAATGAAGAGAGAGACAATCTATTCTAAACAGAAAATCATAGAACGCTTTGGATTGGAAGGGACCTTTAGAGGTCATCTAGCCCAACCCCCCTGCAGTGAGCAGGGACATCTTTAACTGGATCAGGTTGCCCAGAGCCCCGTCCAACGTGGCCTTGAATGTTTCCAGGGATGGGGCCTCCACCACCTCTCTGGGCAACCTGTTCCAGTGTTTCACCACCCTCATTGTAAAGAATTTCTCCCTTATATCCAGTCTAAACCTACCCTCTTTCAGTTTAAAACCATTGCCCCTTGTCCTGTCACAGCTGGCCCTACTAAAAAGATTTTCCCCATCTTTCCTATAGGCCCCCTTTAGGTACTGAAAGGCCGCAATCAGGTCTCCTTGCAGCCTTCTCTTCTCCAGGCTGAACAAGCCCAACTCTCAACCTGTCCTCATAGGAGAGGTGCTCCAGCCCTTGGATCATTTTTGTAGCCCTCCTCTGGACCCGCTCCAACAGGTCCATGTCCTTCTTGTGCTGAGGGCTCCAGAGCTGGATGCAGTGCTCCAGGTGAGGTCTCACCAGGGCAGAGTAGAGGGGCAGGATCACACTATCTACTGTTCTGGTTTCCTACAGCATAAATGCATTCAGTTTACTGGTTTTAATACATCTGGAGAGAGAGCAAGAATGAAAAAAATTCTGCTCAAGACTCGGTGGTGAATACTTAACGTTTTACCTACCTTGCTCTTCAGCTAACTAGGCAATCTTAAGGCACTATTCTTTAAAAATAGGAAGAGCTTTTTCAGTAGTACTGATTTAACACAGAGTCAGAGTTTGTATTTTAGACTAAAGAAGTACCAAATTTTTTTCATGCATTTATAAGGCTTATGGGTTTTTATGTTTCACTCTATTTGTTATCACTCAGTCGGGGCCATTATTCTATGCTGAAGGCTCATTTTGAAGAAACACTGGTTGGAAAGATAAGTCACTTGAGAGTACTCTGTTCCATGAATTCTCGTGAGTCGTTATAATAAGAAATCTCTTATCAATTAACTTTGACTTGTTTCTATTCCATCTTCAGGCTTTTTGGACCATAAATATGTCAGTTCAGGCATCATTCACGTAGTTAATTTTATGATATAACGTGTTAAAATAGTGAGGCAAAACAAAGGGATTAGTATTAGTCTAGGAATACGAAGTAAGTCTGAATCTGATAACTTTATTGTTGTAAATTAGCTCATTCACCCTGACCACCACCCTGGGGGACTGTATACTTGGGGCTGTGCAGTTCGCTAAGAGAGAGCTGGTTTGTATGAATGCTACCCTCCGAATGAAGTTCTAACATTGCAATTTTCCCTTTTATTACTCATTGGAAAAGTGAAGACTAATGGAAGAAAAATAGCCAGGTTTGCTGGAGAACAGTCAAGGGCTAACTAGTTAGCTTACACCATCACAGATTTGTATTAACCAGCCTTGTTACAGGCTAAATGACATTAAGCCAAATTCTGTCATTTTATAAATTTTTGTACGTATGGCTTGTACAACAGGGATTATGTGAGTTTTGGGGGAAATAAAGATGGACGAAAGCTATAATATAGCTTTTAATCTGTAAATATCTTTATTCTGGCTATTGTTTGCAAATTTAGGAATGCTGCTTTGGCTTTTCCTTGACTAAATCTGCAAGGAAGTTAAATTTGTTCAGCAAGACTGAAGACTGCCATACAGAAGGGGGAATACTTTCGTATCTATGTATTTATTCTGTGTTCTAGCAGAGAGTGGAAAACCATGACATTTCCTACTTCATTTCCTTTTAGTAAATTGTTAAAAATGCTGAGACTCAACAAGCAAAGGAAATGCAGATTAAAAAAGCTGAGGAATGAAATGTACTTTGGGAGTAACATGGGCTAAGCCCTGGACTGTTTTCTGTACACAGTGCTACATGCAACAGCATTGTTTTGTGTTCTTTGCAAGGGTCTGGCAAGACACAAAAATGTTTATTATTCCCTTTTTTTTGCATCGGGAACAGTTGCTGGGGGACCACCTTGAAAGTCTGGTACTCCCCAAGAGTTTTAGTTCTGAGGAGCTTGACAAATACCAGAATTTGTGTGACTACTTCTACTTAGTAACACAGATTTGTGGTCTGCAGGGTTTGCACTGCTTTGTTTTTAAGAATCTAAAGTCTGGGTGCAGGCATTAAGACATGTTGGAGTCGGGTATATGACTCTTCGTGGCCTTACATTAATGAATTGTACTTCTTGATCTCCAGTGGGAAGCTTGGAGACAATACTCAAGTAAATAGTGGCTACATGTTGTTCTAGCTATGCTTTTGAGTTGATGATTAGTTGCCTGCACCCTCTTTATTTTTCCTCATGCCTTCCCATAACATTACAGCCATATTCAGGATTCCTGAATTCATGCAAAGAGCAAAATAGCAGTAGGGTGAGGATATAGACTGAATGCAGTTGTACCTGA